AATCCAACTAGTCGAAGATGCATTGCAACACAAACGAACACAGGTTGAACTTGATGGCTGCTTGCTTGATCTGAAACGTTCGATCTGGACGAGTAAAATCGACAAAAACAAAACCGGTTCAATTCAGCGAAAGTTAATCGACAATCAAGATAAGCAAGGTTTGAGAACACAAAGATTTTTTGCTTCAGAATTTTTCTCCACCAAATCGTTTGACGATAATTGGGATTGTTGTTGGCTTACTGAAGAGTGGCTCAAGAAAAATGGCGATCGATCAAAATCAGAAAAGGTTGAACTTGCCGCTGAAGGGATAATTGTTGAAGGAAAGCAACTACACCATTTGTGCGAAGCTCAGTGGCTAGTTCAGCAACCGCAAAATGTGAAAAATGAAAATGATTATGAAATTGCTAAATGTTGCATTTCGTTGTACACTCAAGAGTGTTTCTTGTATAAATTGTTGAATGAAACACTGAGAAATGAAGACAGAACAAAGGTCGATACACTTGGTGGATTTTGTGCTATGTTAAAGTGGAGTCCATTTTATGTGAAAACGTTCTACAATGGGATGGTCTATCGCGGAATGCAACTAAATGAAAAACAGATTGACGAGTACAGACAAGAAGTTGGTACAGGTATAAAACCGTGGCTAGGGTTCACCTTGACGAGCAAGAACCGAACAATTCGGAAACTCACTGTTGATAATCACTATTCCGGCGAGTAGATGTCGCGGACTTGACATTTCGTCGATGCCTATCTTCGTTAATGAAGAAGAAGTAATTTTGCCATCATCAACTCCATTTCGGATTGATAAAGTTCATTATGAAAAAACAAGTGGAAAGCACTTGATCAATGTAACAATTATTTAGGTGCAGTTAGTATTTTAATCACAGAATCTATCTAAAAAGCAATATATTAAATGAAATGATCAACTCATTTTTCACAGCATGTATTTTTTTATGATGCTTAAACAACGATGTGAACGAAGAACCACGTAAAATTTGCATACTGAATTTGTCCAGTTAACTTTATTTAAATACTATCTATTTCCACAACTATAGGGAACGATGGCTTTTCGAATAACTCTTGATAGAAAAAAGCAGTACAGTGTGTGAGGTGTGCATCTAGATTTAATTCTAGAAAAGAACCAGACCCACATCCAGAAAAACAGAAAACGTGCATAATTGATGTGATGCGAATCAATTTTTGCCTCTGTTAGTCGTCAATGATCAATCTTCTCTAATTGATGCAAAGACATTACAAAATCATCGATTGGTAATCATTGAGATCCATATATTTAAAGATATTCTTTGCTGATTCACGCAACTTATTCGAATAACTTGTCATCAACACACTGAGTAAGTACACTGCTTTTTTTTTCTTTATGGATTACAAATATTCAAGTATTTATAATATTACATTAAACAATTTAACATTACGATTATTAATTGATTTTGAATTTAAAGCTCTATTAATAACATTAATTATGTTTACAATTTTCCGAAGCCGGATTGTCGAGTTCAATGTTATCGTTTCGGTCGAATAACTTTTTAATAGTTGTTGGCGGGATTCTTACAATTTAGAAATGAAATATTGATGTGCGTCACCTTATTATTCAAGCTGTACCAACAAATGGTAGAACCAAACGTCAATTTAATCCTGTATGACTTATGTTGGCTAACAGAAAAATTTGTTTACATCTAAAGCAGCTGAATAGTAACTTTTTTGTTCGTACTGTTACAGAAGTTGATTATTAAATGTAAATGTCTTTGACTATTATTATAAGTATTACTTATACTCTACACTTTCGATGTCAATTTTCACTTATCTCTTCGTTTTAAAACATTTTGTTGATTCAAGTTTTTTCTGTCTAAAAAATTTTTTTTGATGATTTTCTCTTTCTTTTAATTTATAATTTCGTGCAACTTCTTATTATGCTATCTTTATGGAAATAAACTAAATGAACAATTAAAACTAGAATGATACATTAATGCAGAGGTATAGAATTAAACGGACTCGAAAAATCAGAAACATCAATCAGCCTCCTTTGGTCTGCAGGTATTTCAAGCCAGATGAGAAAAAAGTAGCCTGTTAGTAGGTATGATCTGGAGTTCGTCTATTATCAACGGATGTAAATACATGGGTTGATGGACTTGACATAAATACATCACTGAGATATTTTAAGTTAGATTCAACACATCGTGCTCTGAAAATATAGTTGGCATTGTAACAAGTGGCTTCGGCGAAATTGTTAATGAAAATATGGATGAGTTTTGCACTGATTTCCATGATACTTCAACTTCTGTTTTATCGTATCAAGCCGACTCAGGTACAATGGTTGAAACCGATCTTGACAAAGCAAATGCTCGCACAGAGGGATCCATTGCTAAATACAAATTAGAAGATATTGATATTAACGTTGATGAAGGACAAGCTCTTGTAAGTGCATTAATAGAATTAGATAGAGTGAAGCTTGTGAGTAGAGAAGAATTAAATGGCAAGAGAAAATATGTTGTAGTTTTTAAGATAATTTTAAAACGATTGTCACATGTTATTAGTTCTGTTTTAGGTTGCAAATGATTCTTTAAGGCTTAAAATTCACATTGTTATCCTAAAAATAAAAAACAAACATGGCTTTAAAAATACTATTTTTTTTCATGTTATTTAATAGTCTAAAATTCTAAACATTATTTGTTACATTAGGAATTATAAATATAAAAGAAACAAATCTTTATCATTCTATATAAGTTACATTTATTTAATTTGTCATGAATAATATGGTAGTACGCAAGAATATTTATAAAAAAAAAACACAATCAACTTGTTTGTAAGTATTAAAATGGTTTCATACGACCAAGTGTTAAAAATTCTTCGCGAGTTTTAGGATCTTCACGAAAAACACCAAGCATTGCTGATGTTGTTGTTCGTGAATTAACTTTTTCTGCACCTCGCATAATCATACACATGTGACTAAAAAAGAAATCAAAACAAGAAGAACAAAGATTTACTTATTCATTTGCCTTTTTCTTGTTTTTTTTCAACTTACAGACATTCAATAATGACAGCTACGCCTCTGGGTTCAATGGCTTCGGCAATAGCTTCTGCAATTTGTCGTGTTAAACGTTCTTGTACTACAATATAAATGTCAAAAAAAAAATCTAATTTTTTTTTCATTTACAAACCTTGTAAACGTCGACTAAATACTTCAACAATTCTACAAAGAATAACAAAGAAACTGAAAAATTTTTCATCAATATAGATTAATCAATTACCTTGCTATTTTACTTAAACCTAATACTCGTTTATTTGGTAGATACCCAACAGATACTTTACCAAAAAAAGGGACCCTAAAAATAAAACGATTTTTTTTAGTACTAAGAACAACAAACAAAATTTAAAAAAAAAATTTCTTCTTTTCATACATATGATGTTCACATAAAGAATAAATATCAATTTCTTTTACTACGACCATATTTTCGCATTCTTCATCAAAGATAGCATCACTAACAACATCTCGAATTGATTGTTCATAACCTTTTGTAAAAAAAACTAATGCCTAAAGAAGAAATATATATATATATTAATTGATTTCATCTTTTATAAAGGAAATAAATCGATTAGATGATTTCTTTTTTCTTATTGTTATTATTATTATTATTACATTCAAATTAACATTTTCTACATACTTCAGCAGCACGTTTTGGTGTCTTCAGAAGACCTATGAGTAAAAACCAAATAGTATTTTAAAAAGTAAATAAAGAAGAAAATAACATTCTACCTTGTCGTGATGGATCTTCTCCAATACTTTCCAAAATTCCTTGATAACTTCGACTAATTGCATTAATACGTTGTTCACGAACTGATTGCGTATCAGCTTCACGTAATGCTTTTTCATCGAGGACACTTGGTCGACGACGAAGATGTACAGTTCGTTCATTGTCGCCATTTTCCTGTACTGATAATGATACTGATTTTGTTTGACGTAACAATGGACTTATGGTATCGTCTAGTTAAATAAAAAAAAAACAATTATTAAAAATTAAAAAAATATAGTTGATACAAATAAAAAAGAAATAATCATATGAAATTTTTTACATGGTGATTCATGATTACGTTTCGTTGTTATTAATTTCGGTGATGATGAAAAGAATCGATGACTTTTATTAATTGGCGACTCAAGAAAGATATCATCATCTGATTGTTGCGATGTCATTGTTCGTACTGGTTTTTATAGACGTTATAGTTCAACTAATGGTTACTGTCGACTACTATTGCTTTAATACCGATCTGATTTATCATAGTTTCTTTCATTCCCTTTTTGTTATGCATTTTCTTTTCTTTTTTTTTTCTTCAGTGATTTTCTAAGATAAACGAAGGCGGAAGCCATAACGACGACAAGACAAATCGAAAACTGTCAACAGACTATGACGGGAACTCTAATGGTATTGATAAAACATTAAAATTTATTCTCTTTTTTTTTTCTTCTCTTTTGTATGTCTCTCTGTGGGAGTTTTGTCAATCAATATGTATATGGAAATGATTGACATAAAGAAAGAAAGTCATCTTTATCTTGATAAAACATACCATATTCCGAAACGTTCACCGTACACATTGGTTAATAGACGAGCAATTTTTATTTATTAGTGATAAAAACAAACGACAAGAAAAATCATAGAAACACAATAAACTTTTGATTTATATAGAGAAGAAGTTAATCAGATGGCCTATGCTCGTTTTTTTTTCTTTCTGGTTTCTGTATTGTTTTGTTCAATCACATAATTTTTTATATATCTATGCTTTTTCTTCATTCATTGATTCCATTTACTTTTAACATTTAAAAAAAAAGCCTATAGTATTCCCTTGTCACTACTATTGTTCTGTTGACATTCTGCAATTTCTGTCGTTCGTTTGCTCGGTAGGAGTTTTCTTTTTCTTCTTTCTTTTTCGGTCATATTTCACATTGATTCTATTGTTATTATTATTGTATGCAACATTGAAAGAATAAGATGGCAACATCGACAAGACGAACTGATCAATATAATGATAAAAAATCTTATGTTGTCAAAGATCTTATCTGGTAATATGATTTGATCATTTCTTTCTTATATACATATATATGAGATATAATTTAAATACTTTAAAGGAAAGATCATATATCGAAAATTGATACAGCACAAAAATTTCATGATAAAAAATGGGGTTTTCTTAATGATATGCAACCTCAAGTATAGTTTAAATTGTTTTTCTCTTAAATTATTAATGAAATGAATGAATATTCAATAGACTTCATCATACGATCCAAAACGATCACCAAGAACTGCATTTGCTTATACTAATTCTTCTTCAACCATTCAAACTAAACATATTGAACAACCACAACAACATGTTACAGTTTGTCCATCTCCAAGACCATTACCAATGACAACAAGTAATTTAATTGGTTGGCGAACAGCAGATAAAAATTGTACGTTGGAAAAATATGGCAAATATACACGTGGACAAGAATCCTTACACAAAAAGTTCAAATGGCCTGTTGAAGGCTTTGATTAAACAGTACAGTTTTTATACAGAACCAAAAAACAAAAACAATATGCTCTTATTATTTTTGCACTTTATTTTGAGTACGAGTTAACATTAAAAATATAATTTACATGCTTTTCTACTTATAATCGATTATATTTACTGAATGATTTTAAAGTCTTGCCTTTCTTTTTGCTTTTCTCTTTATTTTGTTGTTTTTGTTGTTGATTACTTTTTTTTCTACTTGACGTGAAATCGTACGTTACTACATGAGACAATCGGATCTGAGCACAAGCAAATGAGAGAAAATCTTTTTGATTCATAATAATAACAGCATCGACGGCGGCAACATTACTCCCGTCCATGTTAAAAAGAAAAAAAAAGAAAAGAAAGGAATAGTTTTGTATGCAATGCAATGCAATTTTTTTCTATGATCAAATGTCTTTCACACTATTTTTTTTTCTCCTTCTATTTTCTGATCTTATCGATCAGACAATCTCAAAAAAGAAACTTTCCGTCGGTGTTCTGTCAAGCTCATTTTTATTTTTTTTCACAGACTAGTATTTTTAAATGAAGGAAAAAAAAGAAAACGTGCTGACAGCATATTGCATCGGCAATTTTATACATGACTGAGGTGTACTATGATTTATATTCTTGATTTTATTTTTGACAGATCGATTAGATATTAGTATTCATTCGAGAGACATTTTTTTTGCATTTTAATTGAGAAAATATGATCATTGAGAACGCAGGACCTCTATATATGGTCTTAATAGACTCGTAATTTGATATACACCAATCAATGTTTTTCAACTGCGTTTTTTTATCCCATTATGTTTTTTACCCATTTTTTCTGGCACATTGCTCCGCCCCTTATTATTTTCCCCCTCTTTAGAAAACGTCCTTTATTATTTTGTCATAATCAAGTATTCAGATTTCAATAGATAGAATTTGATATATATTTCAGAGTTCAATATTATTTTCAGGGTATTAATCTGTATTCATTTTGTTGAGAAATATTCGGATTAGCAAAAAAAAAAAGAATAAGTTTTATTAAGTAGATTTTAAAGAATGCTTTTGCCCCATTTGCATCTATGAATACACTTTTATACGCTTGATTGATTATATATTGAAAAACGATAAGAGAAAAACCAAAATCTTTTCTGCGTATTTTTTGCTTTGCCTAAACAAATATGATGAAATGGTAGACATAGTTAATCGTGTAATAAAATAGATATAGACTCATTTTTTTCCCTTTTGTTCATAGTTTTTTTTCTCTCTGGAGCTATTGCTTTTTTTCGTTACGATGATCAGAAAAGATCTATACTCTCATATATTTACTGTAATATTGTTGGTTGTGGAATGTGAAGAGAACCAAACAAGAGCAAAGATAGTCCTCTATACAAATAATACTGAAATAGCAAGTCAAAAAAGGAATACACTATCGTGCTGTCAGCGGTAGAAATACTAATAGCAATAGCGAGAAAAGAAGAATGGAAAAAAAAGAAAATGCGACGACAGAGAAAAAAAACTTAATATAATGAACGAAGAGATCTTTTGCCACTCCTTCAAATAGGCATAGCGACTTTACTTGATGCGTTCGCTAATAAATACACATGTTCATACTCGTTTTATTCTTTTTTTGCAGCTATATATTAATTTGTCGTATTTATTGATCTGTACATAATTTTAAAATTATCATGGCTTCATTTATTATGAAACAAATGATGGGCTCTCAGTTAGATAAAGTTAAAGGTATGTACGAAAGAAAATGGAATTTTTCATGTTCTTATGATGTCGCTCATTGCAATCGATTAATACTGCCTCACTAACTGCAAGTATCTATCTGTCTTTTACATACTCAAATTCACAAGAGAATACTAGATAGAACTAAGAAATGCGACAAACAACCTCGAAGTCATATTTTATTTATTTTTTCATTCCTCGACTATCTGCTAGTACCTCATCAATCACGCTCATTCGAATAGTAATTTTAATAGTTGACTTGACAATATAATAGTTAATCTAAAAGTTCTTATATGCTAGCTCGAAGCAAATGACTCGATGATGTTTACATCTTCGATAGGGATAGGATTAATAAGTTAATATTCTAATAACATGAAAAAAAAGAAAGAAAGAAATTATTGAATGTTTACCATCATCAACTTATATTAAAATAAAGCTGAGTCAATATGAGATCATATTGGTATTCATTTGATTTAATGATTTTGTTGTTTTTTCAAATTAAAGAATTGACTGGTGGTGATGGCGATAAGAAAGATGGTGGTAATGATGAAGAAGATCCCGAGGTAAAATGAATTTGCTTACATATATATATATATATATATATATATGGGTGTGTGTATTATGTCTTTTTTGTTTATGTTGTTTGTCATAATCAATTTTATTATTATTATTGTCAAAGAATCTGTTCAATAATTAACATTTTTTTGTCATCTTGAATAAGAAAAATGAAAAGAAAAGAAGTCCACTAGACTCATCTATTTTATTTTTCTATCAGTATTCACATATACGTCATTATCAAACACTTTCGATGGTTATTTTTGCTCGGTTGAATCACCAATGATTCTTACAGTTAGATCTTATCTTGTTGATTGTCCACGCGCACATTATTTGTCACTTATTTCTTTCCATTTTCTCTTTTTTCTTCAACAAACCTCTTAACACAACAAGTGACAAATAGTCAAAATGTATTGGTTCAGTAGAGATCAACATGGTATCATACTAAGTTAGTCTTATTTTTGTTTTTGTGCTTCTCTCCCCCCTTTTCTTCTTGTCTTATTCTCTCTATTTTGATGTTTTTTTTTCTGTCTCTCTTCTTCTCTTCTTCTTCTTCGTCTTTTTTTTTAAGTGAACACTCAATGAATGACATTTTCTTTTTTTCTAACATAAACACAATTCTTATCATTCACTACTCTATCATCATCATTACCAATCTCTCTAATAGTTTCATAGACTTTAAACATTCGTTTGATTTTGATAAAACACAAAACGATAATTATTCAATTTTTTTGTTTTTTTTTTACAAATAAGTTTAAACCATGGATAAGTTAAATGTGAATACATTATTTCTATCTGCCCCTTCATCGAATACAACTCGAAGACTTTCATTTGTACCATTATTTACAAAATCAACACCATCATCACCATCACCTACACCAACGACTCTTCGTCGTAAGAGTATGGTAGAATCACCGGCGGTGAGTAAATACGATGATCAACATATACGTAACAATAAAATTATCTATTTTATTCTTGAATAAACATTATAATTGTAGTTCTTTAACATATTAATAAGACGTCTATATGTGACATGAATTAAAAAAAAAAACATCTGATATATTTTTAGGTTGCTGAAGCTCGACGTGAAGCCGAAGAAAAACGGGATGCAAAGTATGCTAAAATGGAACGTCAACGAGAAGAAGTTCGACAAGCTATTAGAGAAAAAGTAAATTTTTCAAGGGAGGAAACTTTTCTTTTCTCAAGTCAAGATTAATATTAAAATGAAAAATAGATATCGATGTTAGTTAGAAATACAAAAAAAAATAAAAATATAGATAAAACTGTCATTAAAAGAGGACTCTTGGGACATAATTGTTCAATGAATTTGATAGGCTTTTGTTTATCAATGTCACGATATGATTGAAATTTTGCTAGATTTTATTTAAACTTAACAACTTTAACAAATCTTAATAGGAATTAAAAGTGATTTATAACTCTTTGTTTTTTTGAAAAAGTAGCTGGAGTTGTTCGAGTATTTATTTCTAAAAATTGAATTCTTAACGGATGTCTATTATTGTTTTTCTTCGATATATATATATATTTATATTAATTGTCTCAACAAGATTTATAGTAAATATAATCATGAGATTTTTCATTTAACATTATTCTTTTATATTGATAAATTATGTTATAAATAAGAAAAATAGTTTAATCATTCTTTTACGACTTTGTTTTTGTGTAGTATAATATCAAGAAAAAAGAAGAATCAGTTCCATTGCCACCACCGTGCGAAGGACGTTTGACAGCCGATAAAAAAGGACCTATTCCGTTACCGGATGATGATGATAGTAAGTTTTTATTTTCATTCGTTATTGTGTTATTTTAATCTTTTTTTGACTTATTTTTATAGGTTTTGATCCAGTTAAAATGGCGACAAATGCATTAAATACAATAACCGATAAATTGCCATTTAAATTACCATGGAAATAAAATTTGCCAAATTCCATTCTTTTCCTCAAATACAAGCAACACTGAGAATATCGAATAAATTTCATTGGTATTTTACACATATGTTCTTCATATGCATAAAAACTTCTATTTTATTGTATTTATTTTTTGTTCGTTTCCAAAATGCACTCTCATTGCATCTATTAATGTATTGTATGTAAGAAAGAAAATAAAAAAAAAGAATTTTAATCAATAAAGTGTGTGTATATTGTTTCATATGGTATACATAATTTGGCATAATTTAATCAATTTTCATATAAAAAAATTAAAATTTTTACTCTAGTCTAAGACGACAACAAAAAGATGGTAGAAATAGTAGAGAAGATGATGATGATTTTCTAGTAAAAAAAAACAAAATTGCTCATAAAACGGAATGATGCATTATGGCGAAAAGACCACAAAGGTTAATGTCATATTACGCCGTTTCTAACGGTTGGAATAATTGTTCATTGTATAGTTCTTATTCGAAACAAGAGATAATGATAAAATTAAAACCAAAGAAATCATACGTAAATACAAATAGATAATTGACGTAATCTTCTTAGAAGATTACAACATAAGTTTTTCTTTTCTAGTTTTTGAACACATGAACTTTTGTAGAATTATAATATGGAACTGTCACATCATATAGTGCAAAATAACCTAAATTAGATTCGTTTCAATAGGATATATTCTGTCGTCTTGATTATCAGCTTCATCAATTTAACGCTCAAGTTCGTTTCTCTTTTACAGAACGTTGAAAACATATAATTGTATTGTTTTCTTTTTGGAATGATGATTACTATTGCCGAACGTTTTCCCACGATATATCGTAGTTTTTTTTGGTGTTCTCTTGTCGTATTCAATATAGTATTATTCATCATGTCAAAAACTGTTAACTACAGTTTTCTTCTTGATTTGTCTTTTTTTTTTTAGTTTTGAAATGAGAAAATAAAAAATATGTCAACTAAAAGATTTCACTTAGCACACATAAGAAATACAAAATACTATTCATTTTTTTATATAATTTAAAAATATGAATTAATAATGAATACATTGATAAGATCGTTTTCTACTTTAACAATTCTACTGATTCTGAAGAATATTTTAATCAATCTAATTTATGTATTAAATATGAATACATTTTGAACAAAGATCACCTGACAAGTATAGGATCGTATGAAAGTCACGCAATCTATTAGTTGATAAATTTCAATTATAGAGAATAAAAGAATTAAGATAGTCTAATATTTATGTACACTCAGAGTAGCGGATAAAAATTTAGAACAACTACACTTGTAAGGTTTCTTCTCGATAGTAATACCTAGCAAGAATCTGAAAAAAAGAAACATTTGTGTAGTTAAAAGGATTCTCTATTAGGATTGATAGATCCAAAGATTTCAAGAAAATTGCTTGAATGAGGATCTGCGAAAAATCAAGATCTTCTAAGTCAACTTTCTGGCTTTGCTTCGAAGCTTTGATGCTTACAAAAGGTCCTAAAGTGTAAAACATAACAAAAATATTGCAATTTTTAATTAAAGAAAAGTAGAGTCATAGAGAGATCGGAGGCATCTCATCCTGGTCCATCTAATAAAAACTTTGCCTAAAAGTTTCGAATAGTAACCAGAAATCTGGTTTTATGGATCTCGGATTTCCGGAGACCTCTATCCAAGCAGTTTTGTTGGAATCTTCATGCCTACCAATCCTAATAGAGAATCCTTTCAGCTACACAATTTTTTTATAAAGTTCTTAATAGCTGTTACTATTGAAAAGAAAACTTAAAAATACAGCTACCTTAAATTTATGCGATTGACGTTTCGATCATTACTGGTAGCATATTAAAAACGGTAGTGATCGATAGAATATCAAATATAAGTTATAATTACAAAGAAATTCATCTAAATGTTCAAGGAAAAATAAATTATGAAAAAGTCGGATAGGGTTTCATTTGTTTTTTTTCTTGAGTCTTTGTTTTACTAGATTTGCAATCTACAGTAAAAATATTCAAAACAAAACTCAAAATTTATTGAGCTACTCAAGTTCTAAAAGAATTAAAACTTTTCTTTTTAAAAGAGTCGATTGTATAATGTAATACACATTCTTTTAATTTAAGCGTCTAAGAAGATACTAATATTAAAGTACCCGACAGATAATTTCAGTGAAAACTATGTCATTTATTTTTCTTTCCTTTCAGTTCTCTTTCGCTCAGGTAGAAAATTTTATTCTACTGAAAACATCATAACATATAATCTTGTTACTATTCTACTGTTTGTTTTTGGCGTGAATAAGCTTTATTTTTAATATTTATTTTACAGATTAATTTTTTGTAACGAAAGAGATTAGGTATCAGGCATTGTCTGACATCTATTGCCAGTTATTTCTGAACTCGCAAGAAAAAAAAATGTTGACCATCCATTCTTTCTGTTGTTACTCTCTCGACAAACGAAGAGGAAGACTATGTAGATTAGTGTATCAATCAATCTCTCAAGTTCGCTTGTTGACTTCAATTTACTTGTTTCTTTTTTTTCTTTTCGATGGTTTTAAGTTTTTCGAAAAATGGCAACTGTTGATGATAATGCACGTTGGTTACATTCAAATACTGACATTTTATCAGGTCATGGTGTTAGTTATAATGTCAATGTAAAGATATTGTTTATTTTAATTTTATATATGATTTAATTTTTGATATTTATTTTTTAGTATATCGGATCTGTTGAAGTTCTTTGTTCAATGAAAACACTTGATTTTGATAATCGTACACGAGTTGCACGTGATTCTATTCGTTTAGTGTGTACAGCAGTTGGTGTTCTATTAAAAGAACGACGAAAAGTAATTGAAATATTTTTTTATGTGTTATAAATAGATATTAAATTTATGGTTTATATTAGCCTGAACCATCATCAACAGGACAATTAAAAATTGCAACAGAACCAAATTTAACATATAGTCATACACCTGTTCAATTAACAATTAGTACTGATGCACTTATACTTAAACGATTAAGTGATTCACAAATACTTTATTCACATAAAATGGAAGGAATTTCATTCGCTAGTGCTGGAGAACATGTATGAATTAATTTTAGTGAATTGTTTGATTGTTGTCTTTGATTTTAAGGATACAAAAGATTATATAGCTTATGTAGCTAAAGATAATATGAATAAACGATCGTGTCATGTACTTTCGTGTGAAGAAAATGAATCATTAGATGTTATAACAACCATTGGACAAGCATTTGAATTACGTTATAATGAATATATGCAATTACAACAAGGAAATGAACAACAAGGGTATAGAGAAATTTTTCATTTCGAAATTCGTTTGTTTTAATCAAAAGATTTTATTTTATTTAGAGTATTAAAATCTCTTGAACATGATGAATTTCTTCAACAAGTAAGATTTTCTATATTCAAGAATTATATATTTTTCTTTTTGTCATTTATAATAGAAACGTGATGAGAATTTTAAACGTTTTATGCCTCATCATAATCAACAACAACAGACACAAGGTATGTGTAGATTTTTTTGTATATACATATACTTACAATTATAAACAGTGATTTAGACGTGTTATTTTCTTTTTGTTAAGTCTAATAGTTTTAAAATCATTGTAAGATAAGCATTTGCTATCATTTACGAAAATAGTTGCATGTTTGGTATTATATTTGCATGTAAAATAAGAACGAGATAAACGCGCTAAATCTGCAGTTTCAGGTTATTCGTTATTTATCTTTTGTCTTACCTTTTTCAATAATCATAGATATATGTTATCGTCTAATGTCAAATTTAATGAAAAATTTATGCTAAAACTCAAATATACAATGGACAGTTTTCCATTGCAGCATATCTTGTCTATATAAATTCTTTGTTAATTCATGGATTTTTATCTAATTGGTTAATTGATAATTGTACTAGATGAAATACCATTGCTACTTTTCAGTTCACAGAGTGCGAATCTGATATCAATCTACAGATTAATTCGAATTTTAATGTAAGCTTCTTTCGGTATCCAAGATTGAACTTGATCTCAGTTTGGACATTAACATACAATAGGTGCAAAGAGTCTGACTACTAGGTAAAAAGTACCTAAACTTTAATCAGTCAGTCATGTAGTTTGGCAACAAGTAGAGCATGTTGAACTGTGATCACAAGAACTTGACCAATTTTCATGCGGAGGAGCTACAAAGTCAACATAGATTTTTTTTTTCTTAGACGAGGATATTTTAACGTAGAAAACAAATTTTATGACGTTACAGTACTCATTCATCAGTTCAGTGCTGCCTCTGTCACCAATGAAACTTCCATGTCAAACAGTTTTAGTTTGTCTGAATCTTGAAATTTTCACGATATCAGTCATCATTGAAGAAGAGGATCCATGCTGATCTCGTCCCAGCTAATGAAGGTTTCTCTACGCTTCAAGATTACAGCAGATCGATGTGTTAATAAGAAATTGACTATTAACACATTTAAATAGTGAAAATGTGTTAAAAAGGTCTTTTCTGAGCTAAAAGAAAACAATTAGTGTTTTCATTTTGACTTCTTTTTATTAACGTCAATCGACATGACTATTACTGCTTATGAACAAATTATTACCGAACTACATATTTGTAGTCAAAATATTACGCAGAAAGATTGAAGTTTATGTGCTTTTTATGCAGTAGTGGAACTTCTTGCTACTACAGATAAACAAGTGATATTATATATATATCAATATGTAAAAATTAAATATCTATTGAACTTAGTTTAATATTGATTATTTAGGAAATTGGAATGCAATGAACAGTCATGATGTTTACAAAGAAAAATGGTTTCATGGCAAGATTAGTCGTGATGAAGTATGTAAATATAGTTTTAAGAATTTCAAACTCTAGTTCGTTTTGTTTTTGTTTTATTAATTAAATGTTTAGGCTGAGCTTTTATTACATCATAGTGGTGATTTTCTTGTACGTGAAAGTGCAAAAATTCCTGGTCAATTTATTCTATCAGGTCGTTATAAAGATCAA